GGTTCATTTCTTGGTGTTTATTTTTTGGTGGGGTGGTGGTGGTGAAAAAAGAAAACCGAAGTGGGAGGGTGTCAATATAATTGAGTCATAAAACATTCAACAAATATGACCAGATTTTCCATGAAATCCCATGGCTTCATAGATGGTTTTTATTGTTTTCTTTTTTTCTCTTTGTTTTTTGGGAACAAGTTCTGTTATTATTCATTGCATTTTTTACAATTTCACATTAAATTGAAAATATAAATTGTTAATAAAAATTTAATTCAGTTTTCGTTCATTGTATGACGGTTTTTTGTTGTTGTTTAACAACTGCAAAACAATTTTTTGATGGCATTTAATTGTGACACTATAAACACACATACACATGTGATTCCAATGATCTACATCTTTAAACGGTAAAAAAAATCTGACCTGGAAAATTTCGCCATACACGAGGAAGCACATGGTGTAGCATTATACCCATACTCTAGAACCTCTGGGTCCTAATTATACCCTACACCACAAAGTGGTAAGGGTATTATGTCTTTGTGCCTTTGTTTGGAACAGGGAGAAAGAACCGAGATAGACCCATAGTTACTTTTGAGGATCTTTATAGAATCACTTTTCGATTCAATTTATGCATGTAAGTCCGCCTATCCGTCCGTCCATGTATTTTTTGAAAAACATGCAGGACGCATTTATTATCCTATTGAGATGAAATTTTGCAAACAATGTTTGCTTGGCCCAAGGACGAACTCTATTGAAATTTGTAATAATCGGATCAGATTTAGATATAGCTCCCATATATCTTCAACCGATTTCGGGTAATGGCTGTATTTTGGTACATTCCACCGAATTCAGACTAGAAGACTGATATTTGGTACCGGATATCATATACTGCTCAAAAATACCTCTGTCAAATTTTATCGAGATCGGTTCAGATTAGGATATAGCTCCCATATATATCTCCATTCGATATCAGGTTTATTGTGCAGCAAATGGCTAATATCGGCCCAAATGGACCAACTAATTTCACCCTATAAACCAGTATTTTAAATTTGGTGAACACTGGTCAGATATAGCTATACAGTTATTTATTCTAAAAGTTATTCATTTTATGCTATTTCCGATATTTTTTGCTTTCTTTCAATAACATTTAAAAAACTGTAAACATTATGGCGTTTGACTTTGTTGCAGTTTTTTTATCTCTCCCTGTATACATGGGATCTATATCTAAATCTGGACCACTAACAATCGGCCAAGGCCGATTTTACAAAAATTTGGATTTTTTCTATCATGGGAGATGAAACCTTCCCCGAACTCCAAATTTAAAAAATATCGCCTGAACAAGTAAAAAAACATTAAATTCGGCCGGGACAAACTTTTAATACCCTCCACCTCATGGTAAAGGAAACATTAGAAGAAATGTGGCAAAAACCATTAAAATACCGAATATCGGGAGGTACCTTTATATGGGGGCTATACCAAAACGTGGACCTATACATGCAATGTCTTGCCACACTCACTGGGACCCGTTATGACCTACAAATACCACTTTTCAGACAAATCCGTGAAAAAATGTGGCATAAATCATCAAAATACCGAATATCGGGAGGTACCGTTATATGGGGACTATACCAGAACGTGGACCGATATATTTCATTTTCAATACCAATCGTCCTAGACACAATACAAATTGCTCTGCTAAATGTTGGCGCTCTACGTCAAATAATGTGGGCTGTATCGTGATTTCAACAGACAGACAGACGGACATCGTTAAATCGACTTAGAATTTTATCCTGATTATGAATATATATACTTTATGGGGTCTATGACGAATATTTAAGGATGTTACAAACGGAATGACAAAGTTAATATACCCTCCTTTCCAAGGTGGAGGGTATAACAAGTAAAAAAGCTGTAAGTTCGGCCGGGCCGAACTTTTAATACCCTCCATCATTTGGTACAAATTTGGCAATTTCCAAAAAAAAAAATAAATAAATTCCGTAAAAATTCTGTTAAAATCTTAAAAATACCGAATGCATATACGACGACGTGGACCAGCATTGGCAACTTTTGTCATAATTTATTACAATATTTAATTCCGAAACTTGAAGAAAAATCTGTTTATAATGTAGCTAAAATCGTCAAAATACCGAATATAGTGCGGTAATAATATATGGGGCCTATACGAAGACCTGGGCCTGCACAGACAATTTTCCATTACGAACTTCAAATTCCAAATTTGAAACAATTCCGGTGAATAATGTCGTTAAAATCCTCAAAATATCAAATATCGGAATGTACCGTTATATGAGGGCTATATGAAAACGTGGACCTACATGACCCATTTACAAACTTAACCTGCCTACTGGCAAAATAAAGATGTGTGCAAAATGTTAGCCTTCTATCTCAATTCGTTCGAAAGATAGGGTGATTATAATACACAGACAGACGGACGGACGGACAGACAGACTGACAGACTGACAGACTGACAGACAGACAGACGGACATCGCTAGATCGTCTTAGAATTTTAAGCTAATCCAGAATATATACTTCTGTCATGGGAGATAGAACCTTTTGCGAACTCCAAATTCCAACAATTTCATATGGGTCCAATCATCAAAATACTGAATATAGAACGTTAACGTATTATGTGGGGCGATACCGATGACCTGCTTTCAATACCAACAATGTCACAGCACTAAAATATTTTTGACTTAAATTTTATCAACCTACTTCATTCCGTTCGGATGTAGAATTAAAAACTTAGTATTCCCTCCTTATAATGTGTTATATGCTCTTTAAGAAACAAAGAAAATAACTGATGTATTTCGAACTTAGTACAGCATAGTGAGTAACTACAAAGCAACCTATTAAAACATTATTTTTACAAAAGGCTTGTCAACCGAAATAAACGAATATTACTTGACCCCAAAAATTCGAAAAAGAAGCCGAATTTTTATTTTTAGAATCTACTTTGGTGCCGTGTCATTTGGATTATGGTTCCCACGGACATAGTTTTTTCGTGAAAATGGCAAAAAAAAATAATTTTCCTGGGAGAAATATTCTAAAATACCCCGTTATTCGATCCGAAAATTGGGGTCGGGACTTGAAATTTTCTCCTCTGCGGTATGTCTTAATACCTCATAATGAGTCCATTTTCGACTCTTTAAAAAGTCCCGGAACATTACATTTCATGTATTGCTCCGAAATCGGTTCAAACAACCCCATAATATGAATTGTTAGATAGGTATTTCCATAAGTTTCCAACTTATACCAATTCTGTATAAACCCGAATCCAAATTTTTGCGTCAAAAAAACGGGTAACCGGGTTTAAAGGTTTAAAATAACATGTAATAAAATTTTCAGGTTAATACGAGCATAGCCCCTAGTTCAACTTAAGTTTTGTTTTCTTCTGGAGATAACGTCCGAAAATGTGTCTGACATAAATTTCCCTTCCAATAATGCCCACTTCAAACGGTCATACTCCCCTTCCAAAACTGACATAAGCCCCATTTTATATGGGGATCATGATCAAAAAAAAAAAAACCGGACATGATCCCCATAATTGGAATCGCGATTATATCCGGGCACCATCCCCGTTTCCACTATTTTTCTGCAGCTGGTATTGAACTTGCAGCCTTATGATTAGATTTATGTGATAAACATTGCAGATTGATTCGAGCATAGCCCCTAATTCAACTTAAGCTTTGTTTTCTTTTGGAGATAATGTCCGAAAATTCGTCGAACATAAATTTGCGGCCATAATCCCCACATCAAACGGTCATACTCCGCTTCCAAAACTGACATAAGTCCCACTTTATATGGGGATCATGATCAAAAAAAACCGTACATGATCTCCATAATTGGAATCGCGATTATATCCGGGCACCATCCACGTTTCCACTATTTTTCTGCAGCTGGTATTGAACTTGCAGCCTTATGATTTGATTTATGTGATAAACATTGCAGGTCAATCCGAGCATAGCCCCTGATTCAAATTAAGCTTTGCTTTTTTTCTTCTAGAGGTAATGTCCGAAAATTCGTCGGACATAAATTTTCGGCCATAATCCCCACTTCTAACGGCCATACTCTGCTTTCGAAACGGATCTAATTCCCACTTTATATGGGGATCATGACCAAAAATACCGGACATGATCCCTATAATTGGAATCGGGATTATGTCCGGTAACTATTCACTTTTCCACTGTTTGGTTCGCTGCTGATATTTAATTCGCAACTTGTGGTTTGAAGTTGAACACACTTTACACTATGCCCCCGACCTGAAACTCATTGTATTTGAATATTTATTTCTTTGTATCCGACGCTTAGTCTCGGGTTTGTAATCAGACACACTTCACTCATTACCTGGTAAGGAGGAATATAAGTAATTTTGGTTAGTGCATTGTTAGGAGATAATTCATTACTTTCAACCTTCTGATAATGAATTTAAATGGGTCATTGGGCTTATACAACTCCCAATTTATTGCTAGAATGTGCCACGAAACTCCCTTCCACAGAAGGTCAAAATTTCCAAAAAAAAATAACAGCTCTCATAAAAATTCAATTTTATTTTCGATTTTTTTAAACTTCGCATATATTAATATTTATGTGTAATTAGGTAAAATTGGGAAATATCGATCTCACTTTCTGTTACCTTCCCGATAAACGGTCAAACCGATTGATACTTTCGACTCCATTCATAATTTTTAAATCGGTGATGTCAAAGTATTGGGATTTTGAAATCGAATTCTGAATCGTTCTGGCATATAATTTTACTGTCATCGATAATATTTATATAGCCTCATCTTATGGCGAAACCAAAAATTTCATACCAAACATTTATTAAATAACAAATTTTCTTCCTATCATTACACCCTAATGTCCACCCGCGCCAACATATTTGGAAGCCATCAAAAAATAATACCCAAAAGCCTCACACAACGTAAATAAAAAAGCGTAAATACGCAAATAATTCTCAATTTATTTTAATTCGGTTACGTTTTGACCCACTTACCTGGTAATGACAAAACGCCATTCAGAGCCAGCAAGGTGACAGCGAATAGACCAATGAAAGATTTCATTTTGTCGCTTTCGATGGGGGTGCTTGTTGTTGTTCCTGCTGTTTTACTTTTCCTTTTCTTTGCTCAACAATCACTCACGCAATTGGAAAATCTTTATTTGGTTATATTTTCTTCTCTTTTATTTGAATATTTTTTTTTCAATATTGATGTTTTCAAAATATTTTCTGGCACTTCTTGTTTTTCAAATTTGTTTTTTCAACTGCGAACAAAAGAAAAATTCTAGAACAAAAAAAAAACAGAAGACGTTTGGTTAAATTAATATTTTTATTTATTTGTATTTTTTGGTGGCTTAATTAAAGGTAATTAAATTGTTGTTATTGTTACTGTTGTTGTTGTGTGTTTGAATAACAAAAAAAACGAAATGACAAAAATATGACAGCTCGCACACACAGACACACACACCTTTTTTATTTTTTGCGGAACGTCACTTATTTCCGTTTGAATTCTTTTCAAAATTATTTTCAAATTTATTTTTTTTTTTTTATTTTTTCAATTTCTATATTGGTTTTGAAATATTCTTGACGTTGTTGTTGTTGTTGTTGGATTTCTGGTTGATTTTTGTTTGTCTTGTCTTTGCGCGTCTGCAGTCTACAAAGGTTTGTTGAAAACTTGGCCGGTTTTGGAATACAATTAAAAGCGACAGGTTCTCAGTCATTCAGTTTATACTCAATTCTAGTTTGGGACAGACACTCCGTTCGGTTGGGGGCTTCAAAGCGGCAGCGCAGAATGACTGTGGTGTAGACGTCAACGTCATTTATGCCTATCATTTATTCTAGAAGTGAGAATGCTTGTTGCGCAGTTGGCTTTGCTGTCTGGCTGTCTTGCTCGCTTGCTAGCCGCCGCTAGCTTGTTATTCTACCAGCATGTTCTGACTGTCAGTGTTGTTGTTGTTTTTGTTTTTTCAGCTGCAATGGCATTTGTGAGAATCAATGCGATTCCATACAAATGAGCAGCTTACTGCTGCTGCAACGTATGAGCTGTTAAAGCTATGCCGGCTTGCGTACCGTACCCTTTGACGAAATTATACCTTCCATCCGACGTACAAACGTACATACTATGAGTGAGTGACAATAATGAGTAGTTGCTGGATAGTTGTATGATTATTGTGTGTGTTTTTTACATTTCGTATTTGGACATACAAATTCATTATATTTTTGTACTCTTCTTCGCGGAATGGAGGGTGAGGTGACGAGATTGTCATTTCATTTCTGAACTAATAAAGATCAAGTCTAAATGTTTCAGTCGATTTTGCCGACCTCAGCCAATATTCGATTATTTAAATATATTATGACTTCTGTTATGATTATTCAAATTTGTTGACCCTCTATGGAGCAGATTCCGAATATTGTCCATTTTGTATCGGATCTAAATAAATATGATATAAATATTGCGACATGTCAGGTTTGGACTATAGATAAAAAAACTGCAACAAAGTCAAAGTCTGATTGGTGTTGAAAATGAGCTAAATGGGTCCACGTTTAGGTATAGCCCCTATATAACGGTACCTCCATATTTTCGGTATTTTGAAGATTTCCGCCCCAATTCCCAAACGAATAAGCTAAATCTTTATATATACGGTTCTTGATAGGTATGTTCTCTCGCTTTTTCGCTGGAGGTCCACTTATTGAAAATATGGCTCGCATATAACGGTGCCTCCCGATTTACGGTACTTTGAAGGTTTCTGCCACAATTTCTAAACAAATTTGCTGAAACTCAATAATTGGGGTTCTCGGTAGGTCTGTTCACGCCTTGTAAAAAAATATTCGATTCACGTATAACGATACCTCCAGGTTTTCAGTATTTTTATACCCTCCACCTTGGAACTTTGTCATTCCGTTTGTAACATCCTTAAATATTCGTCGTAGACCCCATAAAGTATATATATATTTATAATCAGCATAAAATTCTAAGTCGATTTAACGATGTCCGTCTGTCTGTCTGTCCGTCCGTCTGTCCTTCCGTCTGTCTGTCCGTCTGTTGAAATCACATATAGCCCACATTATTTGACGTAGAGCGCCAAAATTTAGCAGAGCAATTTGTATTGTGTCTAGGATGGTTGGTATTGAAAATGATGATGATATATCGGTGATGATATATCGGTCCACGTTCTAGTATAGTCCCCATATAACGGTACCTCCCGATATTCGGTATTTTTATGATTTATGCCACATTTTTTCACGGATTTGTCTATAAATAGGTATTCATTGGTCATAATGGGTTCCAGCTCCGGTGGCGAAACATTGCATGTATAGGTCCACGTTTTGATATAGTCCCCATATAACGGTACCTCCCAAAATTCGGTATTTTGATGACTTTTGACATATTTTTTCAAGAATTTCTCTGAAAATTGGTAGTTGTAGATCTTAATGGGTCCTAGTTCGTGTGGCAAGTCATTGTAATTATAGGTCCACGTTTTGGTATAGCCCCCATATAACGGTACCTCCCGATATTCGGTAATTTGATGATTTTTGCCACATTTTTTCACGGATTTGTCTGAAAATTGGTATTTGTAGGTCATATTGGGTTCTAGCTCCTTTGGCGCAACATTGTATGTGTAGGTCCACGATTTGGTATAGCCCCAATATAACGGTACCTGCCGGTATTCGGCATTTTAATGGTTTTTGCCACATTTCTAATGTTTACTTAACCCTAAGGTGGAGTGTATTAAAAGTTTGGCCCGGCCGAACTTAATGTTTTTTTACTTGTTAAGGTTTAAGGTTAAGGTAGATATTAATATGGGTTTCGCTATTTGGGTCATTTTTTATTTTAATTCATAAAGACTGATATTCTTAGTTAAAATACAGGGTGAGATAAAAAACTGCAACAAATCATAATTTTTCATTGAATGAAAGCAAAATATGTCGGAAGTGGCATCAAATTTTAGAATAAGTTTAGATTTGTTTGAATTGGTCACCTTTGGCACGAATTATGGCCTTCAAACGACCAATGAAACCGTCACACGCTGCCCGAGTGTTGCTCTGCGGCATTTTGGCCCATTCCCGGCGAAGCGCATGCTTGAGGTGATCGACACTTTGGTATTTTATAGTGCCAACATTGCTTTCGAAAATGCTCCAGACACAATCGTCCAACGGATTGGTATCCGGAGATTTTGGTGGACATTGTGCTCTGGAAATGAAGCGAGGAACCTCATTTTGTAACCATTCTTGGGTGGGGTGTCCTGTTGGAATGTCCAAGGTCTGCGGCCAAAATGTTTGCGAGCGCAAGTCCTTAATACACCCTCCAGAATATTTTCGCGATAATATTTGGCATTTATTCTGATGCCACGGTTGATTAATACGAGTGGAGAGCGACCATCGGCTGTTATAGCGGCCCACACCATCACCATGGCCGGCGCTTGAGTTCTGGTGGCCAACCGAAGGTGCGCATTTTCAGCTGACCTCTTTGGCAAGTAAACACGATCATTTTGTTTGTTTTCAAACTGCTGGACAACGAATGTTTTCTCATCGGAGATGGAGAAAACCAAATTCTGCATTTCACCACTTTCGGCCAAACGAAGCAACTCTTTAGCTCTTTTGAGTCTATTTTCTTTCTAGCGTTAGTAGAAATAATGATATGTGTGAAATATAAAGAGAGCCGGATGCTTATTTCGGATTTAATAGTCGTTTTGGTTATTCGAAACTTTGACCCTTTGTTAAGAAGGTACCAGAAGAAATGGTCCGATCTCCATCATCTTTATAACAGATCTTGTCTTGATGGAAATATTGAGATGTACCAAGTCTGAATGGAATCGGATGTTAACTTTGAATTTTATAAGTTTCATGGACATTCAAAATTTTGTTGAAAATGTTGACATGTTATGTGGGAGGTACCAGAAGAAGTGGACTGATATTGTTCATCTCCTGACTCGATCTAAATTTGATAATAATATTGGGATATGCCAAGTTTGGACCAAATCGGATGCTCCATATTTGCCATAAAATGGGCCATGTAGGTCAACGTTATGGTATAGCCCCCATATAACGGTATCTTCCGATATTCGGTATTTTGATGATTTTTGCGACATTATTCACCGGAATTGTCTCAAATTTGGTACTTGAAGTTAGTAATGGTAGATACAGCCTATGACGGAAAATTGTCCATGTAGGTCCACGTTTAGGTATAGCCCCTATATGGTATAGGGAGGTACCAACCTATATTCGGTATTTTGATGATTTTAGCTACATTGTTTACCGATTTTTTTCTAATTTCGCATTTCAATATTGTAATGGTTGCCTATGTTGGTCCATGTCGTCGTATAGATCCTTATATAACGGCTAAATTCGTTATTTTTATGCCCTACACCACAAGGTGGTCAGGGTATTATGTTTTTGTGCATTTGTTTGTAACAGCAAAAGGAAACGAGATAGACCCATAGTTCCTTTTGATGATATGCATAAAATGACATTCCGAGTCGATTTAGGCATGTCTGTCCATGTATTTTTGTAAACAAAGTACAGTCGCATTTATTGCTCGATCCAGATGAAAATTTGGCACAAATCATTTGTTTGATCGAAGGACGAACTCTATTAAAATTGGAGATGATCGGTCAAAATTTAGATATAACTCTCATATATATCTTCGTCCGATTTGCCTTTTAATGTGCACCAAACGTATAATATTTACCCCAAATGTAATGGAATTTGGCACTTACGACAAAATCTACGATCTAGAAACAAGTATGACAAATTTAGAGAAAATCGGTTTAGATATAGCTATAGCTCGCATATATTTTGTTCATCCGATTTGTTGAATTTTTCCTGCACAGTCTTAATATGCACTCGGTAGTAACGAGAAATATATCAAATACAGCTCAGAAATTGCCAAATTTTATAGAGATCTGTTCAGATTTGGATTTAGCTCCCATATCTATCTTTTTATGCCATATTCGTTCCAAATGGTGGAGGGTATTCAAAGTTCGGCCCGAAATTACAGGTTTTTTACTTGTTTTGGTTTTAAATTATAACTGATCCAACTGATCTACCATATGTCGATAATACAAGGTTTTCAAGAGAACTTTCAGAATTCTACCTATCTCCCTTATAAATTTTTGCCTTCTTTGATGGTGTAGGCTTTGAAAGAGTTCGGACCAACCGAATATTTCGTTTTTTATATTTTATTTGATTTGACTTATTGCATTTGTTTTTTGTATTTTCATGCTTTAATCAATGTTCGTGCTTAAGCGTAAGTATATTTGTTGTTGTTTTTTCGTCGTCTTCTTC